GGGCTGCCCCAGGCTGAGGACCGGGCAGCGGCCGGGCTGAGGACCGGGCAGCCCCGGGTGAGCGCCGCCCCGGCCGGGCATGGAGAGCGGCGGCCGGGCGGGGCTCCGGCCGGCGGGCGGAGGAGGAGGAGGAGGGGGCGGCTGGCTGCTGGTGGAGGCCCGGCTGCAGGGGGGAGCGCCGTGGGGCTTCACCCTGCAGGGCGGCCTGGAACACGGAGAGCCGCTCATCATCTCCAAGGTTGGTGACAGGAAGCATTATCCAATCTGAGCTGCAGGACAAGCAAATGTTTGGGATTTAGAACGAATCAATATTTTGTTTTGGTGGTAAAAATTAACCTTAGTGAAAACCAGCCTGTTTACATGATGACAGCAACAGAAGTAATAAGTAATGAGAAATTACAGTAATTCTAGAGAGAGATTACTTTCCCCGGACTAAGATGCCTTCTGTAGAATTCATGACAAACTAAAGACCAAAAATCAAGGTATGGACCAACTCTGGGACACTTTAGTTTGAGGTTTTACCTCAAAAGTAACCACAGCACAGGCCAAGGACTTAAAAATTATGCAAGATTCAAGAAGAAGCCAATCCTGTAATCCTCCTCTCCCCATGCCCAGCTGAGCCTGACATCTGGCTGAATACAACACACCGATGGAGGCTCGATTTAGTGTTTTCCTACAAAAAATCACAGCCAGCTCATCCAATTAAGAAGGGTGGAAATCATTAGTTTGCTGGAAATTCATGAAAACACCCTTCACAAAATAGAGAAATCTTAATATCTGCCCATACTGATCATTTAAGACACTAACACAGCCTTTAAAATTGAGGAATTTCAAAAAGATTAAAGGTTAGTGGTGTAAATTTGTGGCAGCTCTTTTCTAATTGGGTCAACTGATCTTTCGTCCAAGGTTTTGAATGACATTCTTTAATCAGTTGCGGTGGCTTGTTAGTGTGTTTGATATATTATCACACTTCACATACCCGGTCGACACTAGTTCTGCAAGGTTATTGTGATAAAAGTCCCATTCTGACGATTTCCTTTCCTCAGTCCTCACAGTCTCTATATACTGTACATAACACAACAGCTAAACACTTTTTGTCTGACCCAACACAAAAAAAGGAGTTTTGTCTTTAATCTTAACCCTAGATTTTTTAATTCCCTGAAAAATAATGCATGGAAAATAGATCTGGATTCAGGTGTAGACACTGACTTTGTGTTATGTAGGTCCCGGTCTTGAATCAGAATTTTATGAGTTGTTATGAAACGCAGGCAAAGCCAGATCAAGTTGATCATTCAAAGAAGACTGGACTCTTTGGGGGGTGAAATGAGGAGGATGGAGAGAACTAGGCTGTTGAATGACATTGGAGACTTTCATTTACAACTTTGAGCTTGTTTTCCATTTTTGGGGAACTTTGACCCGTATGTTTTTCACTTGGAGACAGTCTGAAGCCAGTGAGAGTTCCTTGAACTCATATCACTTCTCAAAACACTTCGATGGATAAAACCTATCCATTCAAAGTCATATTTAAAGTGTCTGATTTCATTAAGGAGACGGGAATATTTGAAAAATGCTCACTGTGACATATGTTTACAGCCTTGGAACAAAACACTGTCAGAGGTCGAACTTCTCTAAGAGTCATTTGCCTTTTGTTGTATATTTTGTTGTTGTATATTTTCATGACCAGGAGGATGAGAATCATAACTGTCAGGATTCGTCAAGGTTCATTGTATATTATTTAATTCAAAGGTCAATCAGTTTCCTTAAAGCTCTTTCATATGCAGAAGCTAAAACAATAGACTAAAATAAAGCCAAACTTGCTTTAATAAACAACTATCACTGAAAAGTAGCCCCCAAACACCCATGTTTCCAAAGAAGGAACCATGAAGCTGGAATTTTACCATCATTTAGATTTTTTTTGTTAGTTAACCAGAAGTTTCAGACTTACCTTCATTGACCATGTATTTGAGTCATTATTTTACTGGGTTGGATGCTGTTACAGTCAGATTAAACAGTCGTTTCACAGGAATCATCAGCTCCTGATTTGCTGAATCTCTTAATGCAAGACGGAAAAGGACCATCACTGATGCCTCTTCTGTCCCTATGGCCACTCTGTCTTCGTTTTAATTAAAATGCAAATCACCCAGCTTGTGCACGCATGTGTGTGTCTACGTGGAATGTGCATGGGTGCGGAGTTTATTCTGGGATGGAGGCCAAATGGGTGTAAAATAGGACAAGAATGTGAATAATGTGTTTTCCTTGGTGCTTTCGAACACAGTCCCTCTTTTATGTAGTTCTGCACTTAGATCAGTATTAGCCCGGCTCTCTATTATTGACCCAACAACAGTCTGATGTCTGCTCAATTCTTTTCCCTCCTTTTCCTCTTTTCACTGTCCGACTCCATTTGTCTCCTCTTTCTTCCTCTACCGCGGCTGCTTTTGAGGGTAGACAAAAAGAAAATCACCAGCTAACTTTTCAGTACCCTGAAAAATGTGGTATGTAGTTAGTTTACCATTTGCTATGAAAACAGTTTCTTCTTCTGTTGTGTTTTAATTGACTCTGAAAGCAGCAGCCGTGAGTTAAAAAAAAAAGAGATTCACCCACATTGATTGTTTTTGCATGACCCAGTCTGACTCCAGCACCGGCAGCCCATCACCAGCACGGCGCATTTCTTGGCATTCTTAGGCGGGGTCAGAGGTCACAGAGGAGGTTTGTGTTAATCCAGGTCGCTGAGCTCGGGTTAAACGGTTTTAATGAGTGTTAATCTGAAGATCCCGTGACTGGCATCAAATTGTTTGTGTGGACTTTCACATTCAGCGTTCGATCAAGCTCGAAGAGTTTGTCTCTAAAAAAAAATTCTGGGAGTAGATCATCAGGCAATTCTCAGACTTAATGAAATCATGCTTCACAGGGATGGTTGACTTCTGAACGTATCGATTTCTTAAAGTTGTATAAATCAAATGCCGTGAGGTTCTCTCTTTAAAGAACACACTCGTACACAGTCAGTAATGTGGACCAATGGTCAGGCCCAGCCATCGCAGGTCCCTGGTTGGATCGTATATTTAATAAACTACAGCAACATACGTGCAAAGACGTTGTGTATTTGTTTGAGAGAGCCTGAAAGGCTCCCAAACTAGAGTAAAAGTGCAATCCCTCCAGTGTAACAGCGGCCTGCCCGGTCGGCCTCCTCCATGTTGGACAGGCCTGCTGACATCCGCTGACCCCTCCTGATGTGGTGGAGCAGATCTTCAGGTTTAGCTCGGCCACCCTTCATAGGAAACGCATTTAAGTCTCTTGTATTCATCGCCTATGTTTTGGGGTCTTTTCCCAGATCTAATGATCGTAGTTAAAAGTTGGAACAAAGACAGATCAGCAATTTTAAAAATGTGCCTTCCGCCTTATAGCACCCTTGTTGTAGCTGCTGGATCCCCCAGTATTTAGACTCTATTCCACAAGTAACTGTTCAGTTCTACTTTACTAAAATCAAACCGGTTTATTTTTTTTTCCCTTTCGTATCACATTGATGTCTGTAGGGTTGTTACGTGTGGTCATATATCCATCCTCCATTATCATTACCGCTTATTCCCTAATGGGGTCGCAGGGTGACTGGAGCCTATCCCAGTAGCCAATGGGGAGAGGCGGGGTCACCCTGGAAGGTCCCCAGTCCATCACAGGGACACACAGAGACACACAAGGACCAACAACCACACACACTCACACTAAGTGCAGTTTAGAGTCCAAACAACCTAACATGCAGGTTTTTGGAGGGTGGGAGGAAGCCGGAGAACCCGGAGAGAACCCACAGACACAGGAGAACATGCAGACTCCACCCAGAAAGGTCCTGGTTCCCCCGGGGACTCCAACCCAGAACCCTCTGGTCCTGGTTCCCCCGGGACTCCAACCCAGAACCCTCTGGCAGAAAGGACCTGGTTCCCCCGGGGACTCCAACCCAGAACCCTTTTGCTGTGAGGGGATGCCTAACCACCAACCTGTGGTGTGGTGGCTACCACCCCTGTGGTCATATTGTTGTGTTGTGTTAAAACTGTCTGGGTTCTTGTGAAGAAGTCATTTTTCGTGACCCATCCGGTCACGGTCCCTGTTGGGCCAATCGGTGGGCTGCAGCGTGCGGAAATCACATTTCAGCCTGACTCAGGTCGCCTTGAAGTCTGGCTTCATAGGCACAAAAATCGCATTTGGTTCCGGGCGTTGCTACATAATGGAAGCCAGTTAGGTCTCCCTGAGAGGGGACTGATGGGAGAGGCCCGTATCTTCTGCTCCAACTTGTGAACAAAACCCAGATACTTCCACTCCTCCACCGGGGAGAGGGTCTCTTTCATCCGGGGCGGTTCCCTCTCAGCGGTGGACGGTTCCCGGACACACAGGAAACCAGAGGTGGACAGAAGCATTGTTGGGGTGCAACTGGTCAGAGGGTCAACACACAAGTTAAAGACCTTCATAGATTCATGCCATTTTCTCAAGATGGTTGTAAAAATGTGCATCACTGCAGCGTTTGAGCCTCTCTGGGTAGCAACACCCGTCGCCTTAGGGCTGAATATCGTACTAGTCAGATGACAAAGTGTGTTCAGAGAGAGGCTTCTTCTGATTTTACTGCTGCGTGGAAATGGAACGTCCACCACCCTAATGCTGCATTCAGAACCAAGGTTTTGCCACGTTTCTTCCAAACATAGCTACGTATAAACAAAAAGATATTAAAAAGATGTGGATTGAAGTCCTGCCATCCCACTTCGAAAGGTACATAAGGGGCTGCGTTACCTAGCAGGAAATTGAGGAAAATGTTGTGTTTTACAGGGTGCATTTATAGTAAATAACTATAGTGAATCACTATAGAAATATAGTGAATCATTCCTACTTGAATTCTACTTGAAGTGCTGGAAATGTTGCGATCTCTCACATTTTGGTTTCTTAAATTTGAGCAAGAATGAGGAAGAACAGGTCCTTTTCCTTCTGGTCACTGCCACACAGCTTTCAGGTGATGTTGTGTATTGATTAGAGGAAATGTTCCGGTTTCAGTCACGGTAAGAGCAGGCAGAAACCGTGTTTAGATATCTGCTTCTGAGGGATAATGAATTTCAGCTGGAATACCAGAGTTACTGACACACACACACACACACACACACACACACACACACACACACACACACACACACACACTCCCTCTTTCTGCGCGCCTTATTTGGGTATATTTATTCTTGAAAAAGCCAAACAGAGCAGCCACGTGCGCGGTCCTGCAGAGCTCGGGAATGGTTTAGAATTTCTTTCGCAGCTCCGGAGGATGCTCCACATCAACTTTGTGTTGATTTGCCTTTTTTTTATTTATCATTTTTAACGTCTTTAAATATCTGCGCTTTTGTAGAAAAAAGAAGGAAAGAAACGTGTCTCCTTTTGGTGGTCGTGGCTTCAAAGTGGTGGTAAAGCTTTATCATTTGTAGCTGCAGTGTGTGGGTAGCAACACAAAACGCTGTTGTTGGGTAGTAACCGGTGTTGTAATTCAGTGGAGGGCCAGACACACCCTGCAAGAAATTCCTGGCAGTGATTTAAACTTTTGAAGAGTCCCAAATGAGTGAGCTTGTTTCAGAGCAGATACCTCTGTCAGCACCAGAGAAAACGCCTGTCGCTGCATCATTTTCTGTAACACTGTGTATTTAAGGTGATACACACATATATGCAATCAGGTTTATGACAATACTGTGGCCGAAAAGGCTTATTATGAATTTCACATGGCTCCAATTCCAAGGAAATCTCCGGTTGCCTTTACCCAGACTGATAGGATTTAGTCTGATCGGCTGCTATTTGTCCAGAAACATCTCAAACCGAAACAAGACTGGATGACCTTTATGAAGTTTTACACACACATACATGCACACACACACTGGCTCTCAGCAGATAAACTAGCAGACTAACACTCTGATGCTGTTCTGCTCTCTGACAGGCTGTTAAGTGGCATCACCGGCAGCAGAGAAATAGTTCTGGGGTCACGATGAAACGCACGACATATCTCTGTGTGTGTCTGTGTGTGTGTGTGTGTGTGTGTGTTTGTCCATGTGGCCTGTCAGTTCCCTCCTTATTAATCCACAAACTACACTGAGGTGACATTTGGTCAAATCTCATCCATCACTGGTTTTATTATTTTGGACCGAAATGACGATTAAAGAGTTGAGAGTGCTATAAGATATGCATTCGGAGGACTTAGTTACTGCTATACCACTTTCACCTCCTGTCAGTAATAGCGTATTTTAGTATTTAAGTTGAGTTCTTGACATTTTTTCAACTGTGTACTTTTTTGAGTAGACACTACGAAGCAGTGTTGGATAAGTTTGACCCATGTTTAAAACCAGTGACAAATATCTTCTTTTGGGTGGCACCTTGAGCTTGGGATTGATTTATTTGAATGGAAAGTGTGGAATGGAACATTTCCTGTCATGGGGAGTGAGAATCCACTCTGTCTTCCGTCAGCTAAAGTTGAGCACTGTGGCCGTCTGTCACAGATGAGCTTGCAAAAACAAATTTTCCTTCTTTTTTTATTTGTACAGGATGCTCTCTCATCTATTTAATCAGGCGATCTTTGCTCACAGCACTTACTTGCTCGGCAAATATATAGATATAAACGGGGTTCAGCAGTGAATTGACCTCAGCACTTCTTTGCATGCTTTTTCTGTCTCATGGTTTGAATCTTAGTGCCAGGAAAGGCTGTTTTAAATAAACTATCCACTTTACTATCCACTATCCAGCCAAATGCAAGGCTGGACGGGGTGTTGTTTACCCGTGACTGGACCGCAGTTTGGAGAGAAACTGGATTGGAGCTGGACACAGACAGGATGGGATTTAAAAAACAAAAAAACATGCCAGATGATCTGTCACAACCTCCTGATTGTCGTTCAGTGTGGAGGCCGGCAAAGCTCACCCCAAAGAGGGTTCACTTGGTAGACAAACATTTGGCTCTTAAAAATCTGTGCCTAAACTTAGCCGGCGGGCTCGTCCAGCCTTCCAGACTGCACCTGGAGGTCAGCAGCGGGCGTGCCTCTGTTTAATGAGCAACTCCCCTTCTAACAGACCTTTCTCTTTTCTTTTTTTTTCAAAGCAAAAGTCATAAAGGGATTGTAGCACACATCGTTGCTGGGCTAAGGGCAAATCCCACATGTCAACGCTCTGGTGTTCTGTGTGTGCGCCTGCAGGTGGAAGACAGCGGTAAGGCGCAGAGTTTGGAGCAGCCTCTTCTGGTGGGAGACGAGATCATCGTCATCAACGACGTGGAACTGAGCGGATACCGACAGGAGGCCATCGCTTTGGTCAAAGGATCGTACAAGACCCTGAAGCTCACCGTCCGCAGGTACGGAGATTATGTGTAACCAGGTTCAACCGGCTGGAGGGTGACTCATGATTACAATTGATTATCATGATTCTGATTATAATTGTACAGCTAAATCATATTTGTTTCAATCTGCAAACAATCTATTATTAACCCATAAACCAATTCTGACAGCAAAAAAAGCAAAAAAAACACAAACAAGCATCCATGGAAATGCTCAACAAACATGGCTAATCCACATTGATTTTTAGTCCTTATCACAAACCCAGCTCATTGGTAGTTTCCACACATGAATCAGAAGTGGCTTTTAACGGCACCATATTGACCAAATGTAGATAAAATGTGTTTTAACCCAATCTTAACACGTCATCGTAGCTTCATCATTAACAGAGCAGGCCGATCTTGAGGCTAAATTAGCTTTACAAATAAATGAACCTGTTTGTTTTCATCAGGCAAGTAGAAGATCGCCAGAACACGTCATAAAGTTCATTTAGGTCCAGCGTTTGCTGGGCTGCCGGCTTGTGTTGGCGGGGAAACGTGTTGTGTAACGACAGGTTTCAAAGAGAGCTCACGGTTTCTGCACAGATATTTAATTCGCTTGTATCATGAAGCCTTAAGAAGCTCCCTCCTTCACCCGTGTGTTCCCTGCTCTCTGGCTTCCTCTTACTGAGTCCGGGTAATCTGTAACTGATCAAGATTCTGTGGAACATCCCGGTCCAAGGTCCAGTTTTGAGCTGGCTGTTTGGAATAAACGCCCCGCCCTTCATCTTCACCCCCTCATCACTAACACTGGTCTTCTTCTGGACTATTTTACTGACCTTTTTTGTTGAAAATGTATCTGTTTAGACAACTGTGAGGCTTCATAGGTGAGTTGGATCGTTTTTGTATCCAAGCCTGATTTGACATGCATGCTTACTCTTTCTGCAGTTCTGATTATTTCCTAAAATAGCATTTAGTATTTGAGTCGTAAAAATGTTTTACAAGTGTATATAACACGTGCAGGTATTTAGAAAGGAGGGCTGAGGACCCACCGGTGGGATGTTCCTACATTAAGGGGTCCAAGTTCACATCAAAATTCTCAATTTTACAATATTTACCAATAAAATGCATTAAATGTGACTGATCATCACACACGGCGGCTTCCAGACGAATGTGCTTTAATCATTACACCAAACCTAACTGGGGAATTTACCTTGGACCAGTAATAGCAATTTGTTCCCCCCTTTATTATTTTATTGCTTAAATGTGAGGTCAAGTTGAAGTGGTGATTAAGGAAGATTAGCAAGAGCAGTCGTCTCCAAACACTTGAAAAGTATATGGAAGAGGGGTTATTCGGTTTGGATTTGATATTTCTTTTTTTAGTGACTGCGCTAAAGGAACTGAAGCACTTTGACACATGCAGATAAGACTAGGATGGCAGTTTATCCGCTGATTTCACAGCTAAATAAGGAATGAGCTGATATCTGTTTTTTGTTTTTTAATATTTCAGACGATGCTCCTGTGGCATAGTATGACAGTATAACATAAAGAACGAAAAGAAGAAAAAAAACCCCTGTTTTAATCACATTCCAAGTGTTTTTTTTTACATTTTTCTTATTGGGATGTGACAGATATATGCAACAGAAAAAGCAATCTGAGGCTAAACATATCTATATTTGCCGCTGTAAGATGGAACTAAACTGGTCTTCTAAAATGAAGAAATCATTTTTGACATAAAGTGGATCTTTGAAAAAACTGCCAAAAAATGTAGAGCGAATCATTTTGAATCACTGTGAAGACCTAGAATCTTTATTTTTGTGAGATGTTTTGAGTTATCCGAGATAACCACTACTAATTAACTACTAACTCACACTTGCCTGTGTGCACGCTGTGTAATAGTAGAGAAAAAGACACTCGTTTAGTTTAGAGGATTGGCCAAAACTGTATTTCTTTGGAGGCTGAATGGTGCTGCCTCTCAGCCAGAAGGTTACAAGTTCAAATCCCGACTGAGGGCCTTTCCGAGCATTGTCTTTAAAAAGTCAACTTTGGGTTTTGATTAATAAAAGCAGCATAAATGTAGTCCAGGCGGCACGGTGGTGTGGTGGTTAGCACCATGGCCTCACAGCCAGAGGGTTCTGGGTTGGAGTCCCCGGGGAAACCAGGACCAGAGGGTTCTGGGTTGGAGTCCTCGGGGGAACCAGGACCTTTCTGGGTGGAGTCTGCATGTTCTCCTGTGTCTGTGGGTTCTCTCCGGGTTCTCCGGCTTCCTCCCACCCTCCAAAAACCTGCATGTTAGGTTGACCGGACACTCCAAACTGCCCTTAGTGTGAGTGTGTGTGGTTGTTGGTCCTTGTGTGTCTCTGTGTGTCCCTGTGATGGACTGGGGGAGTGTCCAGGGTGACCCCGCCTCTCCCCCATTGACCACTGGGATAGGCTCCAGTCCCCCTGTGACCCCATTAGGGAATGAACGGTTACGATAATGGATGGATGGATTGATGGATAAATGTAGTCCTTCAGGTAGAGAGGAAGACATCTGTTTGGAAGTCCGGATTTAAAAGTGGACTTGTCCGCCAAGATACTAGCCAGTTTAGGAGAAAGCTGTGGCATCTCCTGGGCTGATGGTCTGAATTTTTTGGGCTTAAGGCGTGTCTTTGACAAAGGCTGCTGTTGCCACTGACGCTTTTTCCGGAAGACTTGTGTGTAAGGAGGAACGCACGTAAGGAGGACTTTAGACCTTTTGACGCACACACTTGTACACACACAAACACCAGGAAGCCCGCGTGGCGCCGTGGGGGGGGCGGGGTGGCGGCGGACAGCCACAGCCAACACTGAGCCGTGCTCAGTCTTCCTGTGGGGATCTGATGGGGGGGAACCAGGAGAGGTCGGCTCTGTACAGGTTTGTGCATTTAAAAAATAAGATGTTTGCATGTTTTTTTTTATTCGTTATTTGTTTCTGTTCTGGGGCTGAACTGAGGTGAACTGGGTGTGTGGCTGGAAAAGAGGTTTGCATGCTGTGGCCACGTGCCGGAGGTCAGACTCCACACCGGGGTTTCAGCCACAGTGTGAGGCTGGACACTCGGGTACAAATCGGGTGTGGAGGCTGAGTAATATGTGTGTGTGCTGATTCCCAGAAAAAAAAGAAAAGAAAAACGTTGCTGTTGTGTTTTCCTATTCTTTTCCATTTTGGACTTCCTGTTTGGACAGACATGTTTGTGGTATATTAGCTGATATTTACTGGGGAATTCACTTATAACTAAGCTACGAGCAGGTGGCATCCTCAACATTTCTTTCATATTCGACTTGAATGCATTTTGTAGATGAGTGTAAGAGCATTTTAATTAATTTACTCCAAAACTTTTCCCCCCGGCTGTATTGTGTGACATCTGGCTCGAGAAATGAGACGAGCAGCTTAAGACTGGTGACATCTTAGAGACTGTTGGTTCTTGAAATCTTGTTTTTTAACATTTGGCCCTTTCCCTCATCAGAAAAGGACCTGCTGAATGATAATGACATCACAGATCATAGAAAAATGACTCCTATGCAGTTCAGAGAGGTTGAAGTCGCAGCCTAAGTCCTTTCTTCTTTGCTTCTATTAAGGTAAAATAATGGTTATCGTGGTTTGCCAAGTTAATGGAGAAGACATTAATGTTTTTGGTGATTGTCTATAGACCTATAACCCCTCAGTACAAGAACTAAGAGCAAGTATAAGCCGTGCCTTTCACATTTCTGTGTGGGTTTTCAGATGGTGTCAGTTTTTACTTGTGACGGGATAAATTTGCACTATTCTTAAATTGCAAAAAAGCAACTTAGTGTGATAGTACTGTTTTTTTGTTTTTTTTAGTCAGGCACATTTTCTTCTCCTCTTTTCAAGCATGGTCCGCTTTTATTGGCTTACATCCTGTAGCTGGAGAAGCCCAGAGGTAATAAAGATTTATTAAACTCAACCAGTGGATATTACCTCACAGGACTAAGGTCTGATTATGTGCAAGCGTGTGTGTGTGTGTGTGTGTGTGTTTGTGTGTGTGTGTTTGTGTCTTTCCTATTAGGCAATTTTACCAACACGTGTTTGTGTGTGTGATTCTGTCAGCTTTTAGCTGCTTTCACAGTAGGCCTACACTTTATCTGGATGTGCATTTGCATGTCCTCCATCCTCAAATGTGACGTGACACCAAACGCACCAATCAGACGCGGCCTCACTCACCACACCTGTTCCTCCATCCGTCCGGCTCCTTCCCCTCCACTCCTGCCCGTGCTCGCTCTGATAGGCGCCTTCAGGACAGCCCTGTTTGGCAGAAGACTTTTGTCAGGTTTGACAGCCTGAGAGACGCACACTCACACACACAGTCTCAGCCGGAGACGCTCTGAGAGAGAGAGAGATATGCCAGCCGAGTGTTCACAAGAAGCCGAATCAAAGCAGTGTTTTCTCAGGAGCTGCTCTACAGAATTGTAAGTGTTTTTGTGTTTTTTTTGTATACAGAACAATTAGAAACATTTTGGATCTCTTCTTAACTGAGGATGGGAAGTAGAAGTGTTTAGAAATGTACATATATATGTACATATATATGTACATAAATATGACAATTATTAAATTGTCATATTTACTATGACAATTTAATATGTGTGTGTGTGTATATATTTTCTGGTGACTGCCCATATCAACGGCTAGTTCTGACACCTGAGGCTACCATTTTTTTTAGAGGCCATAGTAAGCTTTTGGGCAAAATTAGCTTAATATTTCTTCACGTAAAAGTTTGTAAAGTTTGTAACGCCAAGTCAACACTCCAAATTGAGCAGTTAGTCCCCCCCCCCCATTTAGGACACAGCCTCAAAACTTCCAAGTTGTGGTGGAGATATATCGTTTTTTACTTAATGACATCGCTCATTTCTATACTGATGACCTTATTGCTGGTTTTTGGAAACTCTATATATTTGAGCAGTTCTAAATGGTTGCTTTATATTTCCAATAAATAGAAGCAGACATGGCGTTTCTCTTCGCTTCTTATCTCCTTACAGGAGTAGCTCGATTTGAGCCCTTTGATCATTAAGCTGACATGACAGTAA